TGTAGCTAGGTTTTGGTATTAAGCCAATAAGAGCAAATCATTTCAGCCAGTTTTTCAAAGGATTATCTATGATTATGAATTCCACTTTTAATTTTCCTTTTTTCTTGGATAGAGGAATTTTCTTGGATTTCCCTTCTTTCCCATGATGTCCTCTCAGCTTGTTCGCTCTCTTGCTACCTTCTCCTGCAAAGAAAAACCATGTTCGCTATGTTGCAAGAATTTTTTCTATTATGCATATACACCTATTCTTGGGAAGATAACTGCCACTTGTAACTCACCTTGATTACATTACATCTTGTCAAAAGCTCTTTCCCACTTTCAAGCTGTACTCTGAGATAGCCAATCTAGCAGAAAAGGCAATGTGATGTAATTAACTTTTTTTTTATTATCCTATCTCCTGGCCCAAAAGTTGATGAGTAGATTTGTGTAATGCACCTCATAATCCCAGGAAATGAGAAATGGCTCTTCCTTCCCTATGCTTCTGATTGAGGATTAATGGAGGTACCAAGGTGGAGTGTTTCTCCTTACTCTATTTTCTCTTGGATACCCTTTTCATCTGCCATCCTGACAACCGTTCCAGTAGCATTGCAATCTTGTAGGTCTCCAAACTCAGCAATTTTAAGACTTGTGAACTTCAACTCCCAGAATTCCACAGCCAGCACCCTAACGTTGCTAAATTTGGAGGCCTCTGCCTTAGATGGTCCTTTTGTGTGAGCAAGATATCTCATACTGAGAAGGGAAGAGGTTAAATGTTTCTGTTTTATTTCTTCCAACCCAACAGAATGTTGGACAGCAATTGCACAATGGTAAGTCAGAAGTCCGTCCATCCTTCAGCTCTCTGAAAACAGAAGAAAATAGGATTAAATTTGATGTGAGGGGAAGAATTTGGCTAAAGAAAGAGCTTGCTTGAAAATGAGCCAGTGGGGAAAAACTCCACTGGAGGGGGCCAGTGGGGAAAAACTCTCCAGAAACAATGACTGCTGCTGGAAATTAGGTTGGAAATACCAGTAATAGGTGAGATAGAAAATTATGCCAGAAAGAAAATGGGAATTTTTATGGGAGCAAAGCTGGAGAGAACTTTGACAAATGACAAGATATAAAAAATTCAGCAACCAAATTAGGTCATTTATTAATTAGAGGTGATGTATTTCTAGAAAATAAAATTCCAGCTTTCAGTGATATAAAATCCTCCTTACCCAGAATTGTTAAATCATGCAATTCATTATCTTCTATATCAATCTGCTCCAGTTTGCTAAACCTGTTGATGTATGGACTTTCAGATTTCAGAACTGTGGCTCTCAGTCATGGTAGAGAATACTGGAAATCGAACTCCACACCCAGAAGTCATCCAGGTTGAAGAAGTTTGCTTTAAATTATAAAAAAGAAAAGAAAATCCAGTTAACTATATGGGAAAAAAGTTCCTAAATGCATTTTAGCACAATAACCTTATTAGATCAACTGAAATTATACAACAGTATGTATTTTTCCGAGCTTTTCTTAGCTTCATGAAGAATTTAAATATTGTCATCATAAGTACAACAAAATGAACTGCAATCGGTTAATATTTTCATCTTTGTAAATTTGATTTTTTTTACTTAGTTTTTGTTAAGAACAGGAACTAATGTAATTCTTTGCAGATTGTTCTAATCTGGTCAGAATTGTCTTTTGGATCCAGATTCCTGGTTATGTAACCCTCTATTTACTCTCACTCTTGAAACTCATGCCAAATATATGCAGTCAGGCAACACCCAGCAGGAAGTCTCCAAGGTTGAGAGCAAACATCCAAGTATAGAAAAGAAAGAACAGCTCTAAAGAAATGTAGGCATATGGATAACAAACACAAAGCTTTAGAAGCCAAAGCCTTACTCTCCCATGAATCATGACAAAAAGATGTGATTGCTTTATTCAATCCCCTTTTAACCTTTTCTGTAACTGAAATATGCTGTAATAAAATTCCTCAAAAGTACCCAGATTTCAAAGGCAAATGAGCCTGTTGGCTTTAGAATGTTATCCAGGAATTATTGCCTCCAATATCTACATCTGGCTTGAACTAAAGTGTGACTTGGTACAAAAACATCTCATCTTCATTTCAAGATTGCTTGGAGAGGGTGAAATGGCCATGTCTATGCAGAGTCCATTGCCAGAGTTGAACATACTTTAAGAAGCATTTAATGTTGATTCTAATTTCCAAGAAATAATAATAAAAGTGTTTGTACTTAATGTAGTGATATTCAATTTTTCATGCATAAGAGTAGCCGAAAGCTTCCACTGGGCTATTGTTTTTAATTTGAAGTCTGCAAATTTTCCATAAAAAATCCAGACACTGGACGCAACTTAGTGACAATGTATTTAAAATAGAAAGCAGAAGTGAAGTGCATATTCGCAGGATGGCTTGTTCACCAGCAAGACTTATTGTGAAATACTGTCTTATCCATAGGGCTAGACAAATTGTGTGTTGTATTTCTGTGCAGTGGAAAATATATCTATATCCTTGCTGGGCTATTAAAAGACAACTTTTGATGCATTGAGGGTAACTTAGTTTACTTTTCATTTTCATTATAATTACAGTCACAAAATTGAAAATACTATTGCATCACTCAACAGAAACAAGAAGTAACAGTAATATGCAAGGGAAGTGCTGGCATGAGTAATCAAGGAATCCAGTTTGACTTCATGGCCAATAGTGCTTACTCTATTTTGGCTGTTGTAGCACTAAAATAGTATAGCCGCTTCAAATCCTTTGTCAGCAATAGCAGTAGAAAACTTACAATCTGCTCAGTAGTGCCAGACTTAACAATATGTTGCTGTCAGAACCTGGCTATCTTCATGGTTTGAATCGACCTTCTGTGCAATGTAGATCTAACTCCAATGTTTAAAAAACAATATGAGTGCTATTTCAAAAGAATACTAAATCTGTGTTTCATAAGAGTCCTGGATTAGACTTGACCAGGACTATGGTCTGGCATTTTTTCCAGGGCCACAAAATCTTAATATAGAAGTTGAGTGGATTCCCTGAAAACGACCTCAACAACCATATCATCACCGAAACCAGGTTATAACTACAGCCAAAAGTGTTAGGAGAAGAAGGAAAATATTAAAACACCAAGTGCTATGGATAACTTCAAGCAGTCTTGGCATTGACTGGACATAACATAAAGGCGTGTCATGATCTCTTGGCAAAAAAAATAAAATCCTAGTTATTGGAACATGTTAGTGCCATGGTTAGGAAGACATGGAGAATAGCCTTTAGTTTCTTCAAAGTGGGGATCAGCAGTAAATACTTACTGAGATACAGTTCACCTACTGTACTTTAACTTGAGCTCAGTTAAAAATAAAAGCTGGTTTAGAAAGGTTTGAGGCAAGTCAATTCAGTCATTAAAGGTACAATCATCTTAAAGTAATGCTTGACTTTAGTTAAACATCCATTTTGTTAACTTGTTCACAACATGGGGAAACTTTCCATTGCTTTCTTCCCAACAATGTCCCAATCTCGTACTTTAACCTAAAACCTTGACATTTCCGGTGGTCTTTCATCAAGTATTAATCATGTCCAACCTAGCTGTGCTTGTTTGAGATCAACCAAAGTCAGCTAGATATTGCCAGATTACTTTGTACTTGCTTTGCGTTACCTGGCTTGAAATGTAATTACGAGCACCTCCTTCTGTATTCACAAGTATCACTAAAGTCCATGAAACCAGTTCCTCATATCGTAACCTATATTCCTTTGCAGACAATGTTGACTGTCTGCTCGCTTGCATAATGAACCCAGTTCTCTCTTTGCCTTTTTTCCTTTTTCTTTTTTGCAAGGGCCGACTATGCACCCCATTGATCGGTTGACAGCTTTTACCCGCCCCCTTCTCCAGCCTGTTGGCTACCCTAGAGAGCCTCTGCCAATCAATGTAGAAAATACACTGCACAATGGCTCCACAAAGTGGGGACAAGTGAATCCTTGTTCATGTAGCTTGGCAGTCATGAACTCACAATCATTCTGCAAGTGCAACAGCTGTGGCCTCTACTCCCTCCTTTGTTGCTCATTTATTGCATGTGCTTGGAGCAAGCCCTGGCTATTTGCAGGGCCTTTTTATTCTGCATGCCTTAGTTGTCTTTCAATTTGGATCAAAAGGACCAAGTGCAAACAAATGAACTTCCCTATGTACAATTATGGTTTCTCCCCCGTGATTGCAGGTGCTATCGGGAACAAGATGCAGGTTAGGGTTTTCCATTCTCCCCAGTCAAAAAGAAAAGAAATCTTCCCCTTCACTGCTTTTTATTCTAATCCACTTCCGTGGATACCAGGTGGGAAAAAAGGAAGCAGATGGTCTCTACTTTCTCCAACCCTAATCAAATTCCTCTTCCTCTGTACAGGCTTTACAAGATTGATCCCAAATTTGGGAAATTTACTAAGAGCCATATCATGGAAACTATGTGGATATTTAAGAGTTCACAATGACTTGATGGGACATAATTAAGGGCCAAAAAGATTAAAAAAAATAAAATAAAACAGCAACTACAATATGCCCAGGAGTTCCCAAACCAAGGTTTTCTGTTTTACTTTCTGCCTGTGAGTTTAAAAAGTGCAATATAAAGACCAGAATTCCTGGTTTACTTATTAAATTTATCTGTCACCTATCTCAATTGTTGAGCGACTTAAGGTGGCTTACAAAACTACAATATAACAATACTAAAAACATTACAAATTAAAACATTAAAGTTAACAAAAATAGATTAAAAGGAGGAACTAGTACATAAACGGGGGTCTTCTTACTAACCAATAATGGTCAAAATATCTGAAAATTGCAAGGAGATGTCTCTTTCGTAAGAAGGAAACAAGTTCCAGTAAAAAGGGGTTTTGTCAAATTTCTAGGGAGAAGTTTATAGGAAGTTCCACCTTAAGAAAAAGCTTTAATGAACTTCTTTTTTTTTCTTTCAAAACGGGAAGGGAAGTCCGTGTGTATATTGCTCCCTAGAGATCCGAAAGGCAGATTTGTTGTAGTTCTACTTCGAAGTTGGAAAGCTCTAGAGGAGCCTGTGCAGGGTTGGGAGGAGCCAGAGAGAGTGAATTGGAGGCTGAGTAAACTTCCAAAGTACTGGAAGCAGATGGCTTGCTGTTCCTTCTTGGGCAAAAGCCATTGCTTGGTTTGATCCTTCACTGCAAGCGCGGCTCCCTTATGTAAGAAAACCTCTTTGCAATATACAGTATTCAGTTTGCTCTGCTGAAGGTGAGCCTGGGGGAAACTGGGAAGGGGGGAGAGCAATAGAAAGTGAGGCTATGAAGCCACAGTTCTCTGCTAGATTTTGATGAATTTACTATCATGGTTACTATGCTAGAAGAATGTATATTACCTAGTGGAGCTAAATAATTCTTTCCTGATAAGAGCGGTCCTTTGGACGGGACATAAAACAGATTTATTTTTGGCGTGTTCTTTTTTAGAAGCAGCTTCTGTAAACCTAAAATGCCAACCAACTTGAGTTTGAAAGGTGTTTTTGTTCTTGTTTCTTGGCATAACCCCAACTTTGATGCAATCGGAAAACTTGGCAGAATGGAGTACTGCAAGTTTCCAATTCTTTTGACTGTCCCACAAGAGAAATATACAAATGCAACCACACACACACACACACACACACACACACACTCACATTTTTCAGGCTCCTTCCTCACTTGCAACTGATTGATAGGGTGGATCTGAGACAAGGTGTGCAGAGCAGATTTTTAAAGCCATGATTTGCTTCTCATTCCTTGATAATCATCAAAGAATAGTACTTGACATTGTTTAGGTACTTGCCATAAGATATGCGGATGTGCAGTTGTGAATAATAACCGAAAAGTTTGAATGGTTTCTGTTCAGAGAAGTTAAATTAATGGATTTCTTGCAAAAAGTGTACATTCAATGTGGCTGGGAATAGCATGACCAGTTCTGATTTAAAGAAGAATTTGATGTTTTGTAAGTGCTGTGTACGTTCTATTTTCCTTCTCTCATTTGTTGTATATCTACCTACAGGTAGTGCTGAACAAGTACTACTTACGATTGAACTTTATAGTTCTGACTGTTAAAGCATCACCACAGTTATGTGTTGTGATTTGGGCTTGACCCTCAATGTTGCAGTGTCCTGTAGTCATGTGATTGCCATTTGTGACCTTCACTGTCAACTTGCCACAAGCCAAGTCCGTGGGGAAGTTGGCAGGAGGTCCCAAATGGTGAGCATGTGACATTGTGCTCGATGGCAGCATGGGATTTGCTTAATGATGATAACCAGAAGCGCTGGAACTGCCATTGCTAAGCGACTCAAGTATGTGAGGTTGTGTTTTAACAACCACATTACATAGCAATAAGATTTTAAGTCCCAGTTGCTGTTGTTAACCAAGGACGACTTAAATACTAATTCCAACTCCAACTTGATATACTACATTGATAGGATTTTTTTTTAATACAGGGGAAATATGAGACATCCAGGTTAGACTATTAGTTCTCTGAGTTGCTGAACTTTTTTCACAAAATTGAGACCAAATTTGCAAAACGTTTTTAATGGGTAAGCAGAAATCTCCATCTTGTATACTGCATTAGCAGCTTCCTAGTACTTATAAGATACATTGCGGCATTCTTTTCTGTTATGGATTTGTGCAGATGGAATGTACCTTAGTTTTAAAATAAGCCCTAATTAATATGCAGGAAAATGTTTTTTCTGAATCTTGTAGGTGCTTAAGGGGAGGCTGTGATGCCATTTACACACACCAGAGGGGGACAGACGTCAAGTCTCAGGCCAATTATTATTATTTTTTTGCTGCCTTCAAAGACTGTCTGTGGTGGAAAAACACCACAACAAAGAAGTGCACTTTCCCACTGATTTTATGAATAAAACACAAAGAAAGCATGAAATAGATTCAGTGCATCTAAAAGTTAAACTCTTTCCAAATACGCATATGGACTTCTACAAAACTCCTTCATTTTAATTCTGCATGCTGATCGTGATGTTACTGCTTTGACCTGCTTTGACTTTGGCCAATGGTACTAGGATAGAAATATAGGGTTTACAAAAATAGGGTGTTTTAATTATCTCTGCCACAGTACGGTGGGAAAATGAATCACAGCACAAGGAGAGAGCAGCTATTTGGCAAAGTTAGTTTCTGAGCAACTAAGACCTTTCAGTACCTCCCCCTGAAGAAATGCAGGAGCTTAAGTGAACGTGTTCCTCAAACTTCAGCCAGACAATAAACTCATGTCCTGTCATTGCCCAAACTCTTTAAACATTAATACAAGGAAACTCCTGTCCCTGCATCATGCTGCTCCTCATTTACACAATTGGGACTTTGAACCTTTTTGTTAAGCAGAATGACTTTTATGTTTAGTTTCTCAAGGACATTATTGCCGTGTGTTTCCCAGGTTATTAAGGGCACTGTGATCTGTGGGGAAGAGGAAGAAAGAGGATGAAGTGCAATGGAGATATGTACTGTATCTAAGATGTGGGTTTTGGTAGATTTATTGGATGTTATTGGTAATTACATTTTTAGCAGAGTAGTTAAAAATCTTTTGAATGTGCAGTGCTCTTACCTCTGAAGCAACAAATGCAGAAAAGTGCAAACTGGTGGTTGTGGGTTTGCAATATTTATTTGTACATTGCATCTTTTCTGGTCATCTAAAATGATATATATCTAACAGTCTTTCTTTGTTCATTTGCTTCTATACCTCTCTGTGGGATTTCCTTTCATCATAGGTCAACATTTTATCTCTGTAAATGTAAGTACGAAGCTAATATTTCCACACTCTGCCCTTCTTATGCAGAATTGGGGAGACTCAGTCAGTTTGTATGTCATTGTCCCAAAAGCTGATGGAATTTTTTTTAAGTAGGTCAGGTTAATGCAGATTTACTTGTTACTATGGATATTGCTTAATTATACACCAATAATCCCCTCTGAGAATATCAGAATTGCTGCTCATTTTTCTGTTTTTAAATATTCCCCGTAAGTATAAATTGGGAATATATTAGAAGAAGCATAGAAGAATCTAGGTTAAGATACAGGTTAGAAAAGCAAAAGTCTCCCAGGTGGTGGCAAATAGTGTTGCTTGAGCTATTTTAATCCTCTCCATTTTTTATTTTTGTTCTGTCAGAAAGGGTGATGGAAATCATAGCACTGGACCAGTCTGAAGAGATGATTCAGGTCAATTGGCCTATAATCTGGAGTCATCTCTCCAACAGCCTTCTGCAACCTCTCTCACCTATCTATCTCCTGTTTGCATCCTTTTCTTATTCTCACATCTTTCTGCCACTTTGGTTTCTTTTGCTGTCCTCCATTTTTCTCTTCATCTGAAGTTCTGCTAGGATTCCTCTCCTGGATCTTATTTAGCATTGCTCTGATTTCATTAAAACCCACATTTTTGAAGTCTAAAGGTGGGTGTTTGACTAACTACAGTGTTGGTGTAAAATCCAAAACTTCAGTGTTACAAATCACTTTTACTCAGTGTGCTTGCTAGTTCTACTTCCTCAGTTATGTCTTTCCTATTGATTCCTCCATCCTCTGAAAAATAAATTTCTCGGCAAGACAGATCTGGAATTTCCTGGTAGGATCATGCTTATCTGAGTTTGTGTCCCAATCAATGTAGGGTTAAAGTGCCATCAGACTGTTTATGTGGGCTAGCTTGCTATGTACGGTCAATGACCAAAATTCTTGTCCCAGGACTTGACCTACTTACTTTACAGGTACTTTCCATTTAAAGTGCAAATGCTGGTGAACTGAACTTTTCTGCAGTATCTCTCTTTTCTTTTTTTTGAGATTGCTGCATTCTTCTTTTCCAAAAGATTGGATGCAACATTCAGTGATCTCAAGCAAAAGAGATTGGAGGTCTAGGACCCCCCCCCCCCCCCAGAACAGATCCAGCCTTGCTCCTGCTGCATCCCACAGTGGCTTGATCTTGTATAGCTATTTGGGGAAGCACTTTATAACCAGAAGTGTTTAGGGGGCCATACGGAAAGGTTGCTTAATAACCTAAAGTAATATATATCTGAAGGAGATACGACCTTCAAGATAACTTGATTAAATACACACTGTTAAAATAGGACAAAATATGTATGGCGATTTGTGAAAGCTTTGGTCTCTTATGTCAGCCTTTATAACTTTCCCCATCCATTGATTTGGGTGGTGGTGGTGAGAGGAGGGGGAGGAAGATACTTTACTCCAATATAATTGCCATTTTAATGTTTTAGACATAACTTTGACAAGATGTCACTCCAGAACAAGTGGCAATGTGGAAAGACAATGATGGTCCTTCTTGTGTATAGAATTAAGGTAGCCAAACCAGTCCCTTCTAGCTTTTGGGGACAATAGCTCTTGCAGTCTTTACCATTTGTTGTAGTAGCTATGACTGATGGAATTTGTTCTCCAAAACAGATTGCCAGACTCCTCTCTGGAGTAGGGGATCCATATATTTTAGAGAGTGGGAAATGAATTCATGTCTGCTCTGCCATCTGGAATGTTTTAGATTGCCCATGCTGCTAATGAGTTTCCTAAAGAGTCTGAAAATGACTGCCACTTGAGATGAAGAACCTGGATGAATAGAGTTATAGCATATTTTTGTTCATTTCTTGTTTGGCAGCCACTGGCAGCCACTCTTTTTTTCCAGAGTAATGATCAAGGTGAAGACTTTCTTAAATTCAGACCAGCTCCTGGTGATTATAGGTAGTCCTCACTTACCAAATGCAATTTGAACCGGAAACTAGCATGTGAATATAAAATGTTGTAAAGTAAAACATCCTGTGACCAATTCTGGCTCCGGTTGTTGGTAAATTGTTTTGCCAAGTGTCAGGGCAATGATCAGGTGCCCAGGCAATTGGTTCTTTTGGATCCAGAGACAATAAGCACACCAGTGAATAAAGGGAGTTTAAGCTTTATTATTAACATAAAAAGCATACATACCAAGCAAGATGATACCCAAATCTCCTACAAGCTGTCAGGAGTTTCTTTAAAATGATACTAGAGATACTTGAAAGCTGCCCGTACTCGGTGCTAGGTTTTGTGAAGAAGTTCCCAGCTTAAAGGTCAATACTAAAGTTTTTCTTAAAACCTGGCACCAAGAATTTATGGTCCTTTTTCTGCGGTCATGAGACAAGACTTGACATTGACTGGATGGTACATGATTCTGGGATGGAAGAGAAAGTCAGACTTTTCCAGGTTTAAAGCAATGGGAAGTTCCCTCCTGTTCTCCTTTATTCACCAAAGAAAAGTTAA